CTTTAAACTAGGTTTGCTGGAGGATGGAAACCTAAGCCCTGAGGTAAGTGGGATACTGGGAGGAAACACAAGGAAGAGGGTGCAACAGGGGAGGCCTCCTGATTCATACTGAGAAAGGAGAGCAATCAGCTAGTTATGTTAGGTGCCTGTACACGAATGCAGGAAAACTGGGAAACAAGCAGGAAGATTTGGAAGACCTGGAGAAAAGCCTGTTGAGAGTCTTTGGGTTAAGATTAGAGGCGAGAGCAACAAGGATGATGTCATGGTGGGTGTGTGCTATACACCACTGGACCAGGAGGATGAGGTAGATGAGGCTTTCTTCAGACAACTAACAGAAGTTTTCCAGATCACAGGCCCTGGTTCTCATGGAGAACTTCACTCACCCTGACATCTGAGCAATACAGCAGTGCAGACAATCCAGGAAGTTTTTGGAGTGTGTTGTGGACAACTTCCTGGTGCAAGTGTTGGAGGAACCAACTAGGGGCCGTGCTCCTCTTGACCTGCTCCTCACAAACAGGGAAGAATTGGTAGTGGAAGTAGAAGTGGGTGGCAACCTGGACAGCAGTGACCATGAGATGGTTGAATTCAGGATCCTGACAAAAGGAAGAAAGGAGAGCAGCAAAATACGGACCCTGGACTTCAGAAAAGAAGACTTAGACTCCCTTAGGGAACTGATGGGCAGGATCCTCCGAGAGGCTAATATGAGGGGGAAAGTAGTCCAGGAGAGCTGGCTGTATTTTAAAGAAGACTTATTGAGGGCACAGGAACAAACCATCATGATGTGCAGAAAGAATAGCAAATATGGCAGGTGACCAGCTTGGCTTAACAGAGAAATCTTTGGTGAACTTAAATAAAAAAGGAAGCTTACAAGAAGAGGAAACGTGGACAGATGACTATGGAGGAGTATAAAAATATTGCTCAAGCATGCAGGGGTGTAATCAGGAAGGCTAAAGCACAATTGGAGTTGCAGCTAGAAAGGGATGTGAAGGGTAACAAGAAGGATTTCTACAGGCATATTAGCAACAATAAGAAGGTCAGGGAAAGTGGGGGACCCTTACTGAATGGGAGAGGCAACCTAGTGACAGATGATGTGGAAAAAGCTGAAGTACTCAATTGCTTGTTTTTGCCTCAGTCTTCACAGACAAGGTCAGCTCCCAGATTGCTGCACTGGGCAGCACAGTATGGGGATGAGGTGAGTGGCCCTCAGTGGTGAAAGAACAGGTTAAGAACTATTTAGAAAAGCTGGACACGCACAAGTCCATGGGGCCAGATCTAATGCATCTGAGGGTGCTGAGAAATTTGCCTGATATGATTGCAGAGCCATTGGCCATTACCTTTGAAAACTCATGGTGATCAGGGGAGGTCCCAGATGATTGGAAAAAGGCAAATATAGTGCCCACCTTTAAAAAAAGGAAGAAGGAGAATCCGGGGAACTACAGACTGGTCAGACTCACCTCGTCCCTGGAAAAATCATGGAGCAGGTCCTCAAGGAATCTATTTTGAAGCTCTTGGAGGAGAGGAAGGTGATCAGGAATAGTCAACATGGATTCACCAAGGGCAAGTCATGCTTGACCAACATGATTGCCTTCTATGATGAGATAACTGTCTGTGGATATGGGGAAAGCAGTGGACATGATATATCTTGACTTTAGCAAAGCTTTTGATATGGTCTTCCACAGTATTCTTGCCAGCAAGTTAAAGTAGTATGGATTGGATGAATGGACTATAAGGTGGATAGAAAGCTGGCTAGATCATCGGGCTCAACACGAGTAGTGATAAACGGCTCGATGTCTAGTTGGCAGACTGTATCAAGTGGAGTGCCCCAGGGGTCAGTGCTGGGGCCAGTTTCGTTCAACATCTTCATTAATGATCTGGATGATGGGTTGGATTTCACCCTCAGCAAGTTTGCAGATGACATTAAGCAGCGGGGGAGAAGTAGATACGCTGGAGGGTAGGTGTGACGTTGCACTTCATGTGCTTTATGAAAATATGCTTATTAATGTGAATATGATGAAACTGGAATATGCTTTATGCAAAAGATCTCTTGTAACATATTAGCTTATAATCTACTAAGTGTGTTCATACTATTTGTTTGCATGTATTATTTCTATGTCTGGCATTAGGAGAATAAGATATAAACTTGTATTACTGATGTAACTATATTAAGTGGAATCCATTAAGGGTGCTTCAGAATCAATGAACTGTAAATGGCTCTGTTTACTTGCAAACCTTCCTGTGTATGTGTGGGCCAACCCAGAAAGAATGGAGACTAGGGTTTTACAGTGACATGTGACCATGTCACAGGATACTGGAATCCATCTTAATCCTTGTACTTTTCCATTTAGAAGGAGGGGTGGGGACCAAGCACAGACAAGACTCCAGCCTTGTGCCAAAGCTATAAAAGAGGGTGGAGCAGGACAAAGGAGTTGGCCAGTCATGAGAGAACCCCTGTTTACCACCTGAGATGTCTGCTGGAACTAACAAGGATTGTACCAGAGGAAAGGATTGGGCCCAAACTAGGAAGGAGTCTAGTCTGTGAAAGAAGCTTATTGGAACATCTTTGAGGGTGAGATATTTCCTGTAATCAGTTTCTTAATGTATTAGGCTTAGACTTGCATGTTTTGTTTAATTTTGCTTTGTGATTTACTTTGTTCTGTCTTTTATTACTTGAAACTGCTTAAATCCTACTTTTCATGCTTCATACATTCACTTTTGTTTATTAATAAACAAAAGTGAAAGTGATTACCACTGGGGGAAGGGGAGCAAACAGCTGTGCATATCTATCAGTGATATAGAGGGCGGACAATTTATGAATTTACCCTGTATGAGCTTTATATGGAGTAAAACGGATTCATTTGAGGTTTAGATCCCATTGGGAGCTGAGTGTGTGAGTGCTGGAGACAGGTAACCTGCTAAGCTGTTTTCAGTTAGTCTGCAGCTTTGGGGGCATGGCTCAGACCTTGGGTCTGTGCTGCAGCAGGCTAGCATGTCTGACTCAACAAGACAAGGTTCTGGAGGCCCAAGCTGGCAGGGAAAATGGGCTCAGAGGTAATTTCAGCTCATCGGGTGACAGTCTCAAGGGGATCTCTGTGACTGAACTCATCACAGTAGGGATAAGGTCCAGAGTGAGCAAGAGAAATTGGAGGATTGGGCCAAAAGAAATCTGAGGTTAAACAAGGACAAGTGCAAGGACAAGTGCAGAGTCTTGCACTTAGGATGGAAGAATCCCATGCGCTGCTACTGGCTGGGGACTGACTGGCTAAGCAGCAGTTCTGCAGAAAAGGACCTGGGGATTACAGTGGACGAGAAGCTGGATATGAGTCAACAGTGCCAACAAGGCTAACAGCATATTGAGCTGCATTAGTAGGAGCATTACCAGCAGATTGAGGGAAGTGATTATTCCCCTCTATTCAGCACTGGTGAGGCCACATCTGGAGTATTGCGTCCAATTGTGGGCCCCCCACTACAGAAAGGATGTGGATAAATTGGAGAGTCCAGTGGAGGGCAACAGAAATGATTAGGGGGCTGAGGCAGATGACTTACGAGGAGAGGCTGAGGAAACTGGGGTTATTTAATCTGCAGAAGTAAAGAGTGAGCAGGGATTTGATACCAGCCTTCAACTACTTGATGGGAGGTTCCAAAGAGGATGGAGCTCGGCTGTTCTCAGTGGTGGCAGATGAAAGAACAAGGAGCAATGGTCTCAAGTTGCACTGGGGGAGGTCTAGGTTGGATATTAGGAAACACTATTTCACTAGGACGGTGGTGAAGCACTGGAATGGGTTACCTAGGGAGGTGGTGGAATCTCCATCCTTAGAAGTTTGTAAGGCCCGGCTTGACAAAGCCCTGGCTGGGATGATTTAGTTGGTGTTGGTCCTGCTTTGAGCAGGGGATTGGACTAGATGACCTCTTGAGGTCTCTTCCAACCCTAATCTTCTATGATCCCTTCCTCTCTGTGGGCCAATCCTTGCTGTGTACGCCCATGTCTCCACCCCTGCTTTGTGCGCCCCCCCATATCATCCATCCCTTCCCCCCTGTGCTCCCATCCCTGCTGTGTGTGCTCCCCCTCCCCCATTCCTTCCTCCCTATGTGCACACCCCCCGTGTGCCCATTGCTGCTGTGTGACCCGCACAACCCTCCACCCTTCCCCCCCATGCCTCCATTCCCGTTGTGTGCACCCCACATATCCCCCCCATCCCTTCTCCCCTATGGATCCATCCCTGCTGTGTGCACCCCCACACACACATCTCCCATGCTCCTATCCCTGCTGACTGCTGTGTGCAGCCCATAACTCTCCACCCCTTCCCTCATCTCCACTGTGTGCAGCCCCACATCCTCCCTGTGCGCAGCCCCCTGACTCCTGTGTCCCCATCCCCACTGTGTGAACCCCCACATCCCTTCCTCCCTGTATTCTCATCCCCACTGTGCGCCCACATTCTTCCAATCTAGCCCAGCCATCCCTACCCCCTGCCCCCAGCTGCGCCATTTCCCCCACTCTCCCTGCACCCCATGACCCCCTCCACCATCCTGCCCTGGCCCTTGTCCCTTCCCCCACCACGTGCTGTGCCAGTCCATATACGGTGAAATGAAAGCAGCGCTCCCATTGGCTGGCTGGCCCGGGAGGCAGGGTCCTTGTTTGTGTTGGGGTGGGGGGCGAGAGCCCACTGGGCGATGGGTCCTATTGCCGATCACAGCCCAACCCCTCCCACCGCTATCATCCCAAGTCCAGCACCTCCTGCCCAGAGCTCGGAGCTCTGCAGACAGAGCCAGGAGGACGGGACTGTTGTAGCTATGGCTGGGGGTGGGCGCTGACAGCCAGAACTCCTGGGTTCTATCCTGGCTCTGGGAGGGAAGTGGGGTCAACGTGTATAACTAGCCCAAAAGAAACACACTTTGGGCATGTCTACACAGCAGCTGGGAGGTGTCATTCCCCACGTGGGTATTCAGACATGTGCTAGCTCTGCTTGAGCTAGTACCCCAGTACAGTCCTGCCCAAGAACCTGGGTACATATTTGTGTGACTAGCCCAAGCTGCTGTCTATGTTACCACGGCCACATGGCTATTTTAGCACGCTAGCTTGAGCAGAGCTTGTGCTGTCTGTTTACCTGCATTGGGAAGCATGTCCCCAGCTGCCGTGTTGACACATCCTGTATCACAAGCTAATTACCCCCACCCTCCCTTAGTTTCCCTCCACGAGCACAGTCCAAAAGGATCTTGGCAGTGAAATTCACCCCAGTGCAGAAGGAGCACCTTATAGAAAACACAGAAGAGGAACAGAACACTGTAAGATGTTTTCTCCTTTCACAGCTTATCGATAAAAAATGAGGTGAGTTTATTTCAAGGTGAATGAGCAGACAGGAAACAGGGGCAGCTTGTAAATGTGAATGTGGTTTCCATTGCAACAATTGTGAGCTTCCTTTTTTGGGGTGAATTTTAAAAGCCTAATTCAACCTAAACCAGCTCTCTTCAGCAATGCAAGGTAAGCACAGACTGAGTTATATTTCAATTGAACTAAATCATATTAGATACAGCTTTACGAAGAGATTCTAAATCTCTTATTAGGAGAGAAGAGGAGGTCTGAGTTGTTTGTTTTTCTCCTAGAAATAGAGTGGCTGTAATCTCATAATTGTCTTTATTTAATATCCAGGTACATGTCTTGTAGTTAAACTTTAAGGAAGAAATTTTTTGCTGTAGTTTGCAGACATCTTTGCAGATCTACATATGGAAAGAGAACATAGAGAACATTGTAGTTCTAATGTAAACATATGGAGGAAGTTAAGTATCAGGGGGTAGCTGTGTTAGTCTGTATCCACAAAAACAACAAGGAATCCAGTGGCACCTTAAAGACTAACTGATTTATTTGGGCATAAGCTTTCATGGGTAAAAAAACCACTTCTTCAGATGGAGGAAGTTGGCATTGAGAAAAATCACTTAAAGGAGGACTTTAGTCCCTTTGCTGTGCACTTTATTGTTTGAATTCCCTCTCCAAACAAAACTCAGTGACTTTCCCTAAGCAATTGGAATGTTCTATAATCCCCTCTGCACCATAAACTCTTTAGTAACGTGTTCAGGGGAAACATTTTAAAAAGCTTCTTTTGGAAGTTTTGACCCAACTTTTGTTTTACCTCTCTGGCTAATGAATTGCAGATGCCACAAACGCCCAACTCGCTCACACATTTACAGCAATCTCTCAGACCTAGGTCAATTTCAATGTTTTAAAAAAGGCATTTTAAAGTTTATTTCCCATTGTTGATCATAACTGAAAATGTATGTTCCAGCAAAGGCTGGTGAATAACCTCTCAGCAGCAGCCGCCCTTCTGGGATACAAGGGTTTGTTCCAACTCAGCCGAGGCACTTCACTGCACCAGTGCTCATAATGGCGACTGTGGAGTGCCACAGAGGCGGTAATGGCCGGGGCTTGCCTGATTTCTGACAGGGCTACCTGCCAGTGACCAAACTGCTCTCTTTCACACACTCCTCCAAAAATAACATTTTTTTTTCAAGTTAGCCCCTGGATCAGAACCATTATTTGGAACCGACGGTGCCCATGTGGCTGCTCCGTATTATCACTGATGGGTAAAGTGCAAAGGACACAACCTGAACCTGCCTCTTGCTGGTGTTTGATGTGAAAACTTGTCTAAAAAGCTTTGCGTGTCAGCCCAGAAAGTCTGGACGTCAGTTAACACTTTCTCCCCCAGAAGTGTAAAGATTTACACAGCGCTGAGATGATTTTCATCAGCCCTGGGGTTTATTTAGCTCTGCTCTCTGCCAGCTCTGCTCTCAGGACACTCAGCCAGTCCCTTCCCCCTGTTTTAAGCCCTAGGCAGGCACCGTTCCCTCCCCAGTTTCCCCCTGCTCCCTATCCTTTGTCTATTGCTCCCCTCCACTAATGTGGCCAGTTTCCTTATTACGTATAAGCACTCCATTTGTTTGTTTTCTCTCCTTTTCTGTGGTGGTGAGAGTCTGAGCAGCATGTCAGGGATGCAAGAGGGGACAGAATCTCTCCACAAAAAGAACAGGAGTACTTGTGGCACCTTAGAGACTAACAAATTTATTTGAGCATAAGCTTTTGTGGGCTACAGCCCACTTCATCGGATGCATAGAATGGAACATATAGTGAGGATATATA